AACGAAATCAGTGAACCTGGTAAGAATAAAAAAAAAATCCATGCGGAAGTTTCTTGTCTTTATATATATGTATTTAATATAATTGTTTTTTTTAATTGCCCTCAGTTTTGGGTATATTATTTTTTTTAGCATTGATTAAAAACGAGGCAATAAAAATAATTACTTTTGATCCACTCTTTCTGGAGATCTTATCACTACTGTACAACTAACGGTTGTGATATTTTCCGGAATATATTCATGACAGTATTCCTAATTGGAAAGCGGTATTCTTCAGTATAGAGGGCTATTCGTGTCCCTAATTAAAGGCCCTATGTCCAATATATGGCGTGGGAGGCTATGAGACCATACGGCTGCTAACACACACGTTTTTAGTTCGGATCCCTGGCTCGAATCCTCGGAAGTCCCTTAGCCCCCACCCCCCCCCCCCCCCCAGCTCTGATGGGTACCTGACTCACCTTAGTGAAAATCAAATCAGTTGGGCGTAGTATTGACCAATCTATACGTTCACATATCGAGGTCAAAGAAACAGGTTGACTCTATTTACCTGCACCATGGTAAGTCTCAAAGCTCACTTTGCTTTTATTTTTTAAGCAATATAGTGGGCATAGTTTTTCTCAATGGAAGTCTTTCATTTCCAAATATATAAAGCAAAAAAACGTTCATGTTAAGAAAACAGAATGTCCTTATATGGCCGTAGTAAGTGATAGATACAAACATTTGAACGGTCAACCCTATTCCATACAGCCATGTATTCTCCTCAGAGGCGTAGCGACCCTTCCCGGCGCCCGGGGACAAACTTTCAATGTGGCGCCCCCCTCGAGAGCAAATTTTTAATTTGCGTCCCCCCCCTCAAACTTTTGATTTGCATCCCCCCTCAAACTATTTATAATGAAAAAAATGAAGGTAAAATGACATTTTAATTTGTTTTTACAACCCATTTTGGCGCCCCCTAAGGTCGGCACCCGGGGACATATGTACCACCCTGCCCCCCCCCCCCCCCCCCCCCCATCGCTACGCCTCTGATTCTCCTGGCTCCTGGCTATACACAATATGTAAACCAAAGCAAAGTTACACGAACGCTGAGCTTTCGATTGTTATAAACATTGTTTCTTCCAGGCACCTTGGAGTTCGTTCGTCAGAAAGGCTACATTACAGAGCCTGTCGAAAGTAAACGTTGACGAAATGACGGACGAGGAAATGTTGATGACTGTGCACAGTTACCCCGATAACACCGATGTGAGATTTTTTTGTTAAAAATAAATCAATCATCAGGAAAAACAATCCATAGTTCGTGGTACAAGTCGCTACTTCACATGACGTACGGTTAGTTCGACGCGTAGCAGAAGGGTTGTTTTATTGGTTTAATAAAGTGCTTTTAGGAAGCGAAGAGTATACAATATTTGTGTAGCACTTAAGTTTAAGTGTGAATAATTTGAAAAGAGGATTGATTTTAATTTAATGATTTGGTTTTATGGTGAGAGAGGAGGTGGCCGTTTTCTTTTTAGAACGAGATGTAATGATAGATGCGAGCGGGGTAAAAAATGACTAAATTGGAATATTGTGTTTAGTTTTTAGTAACACGCCAATACGTACACAGTGCCGGCGCCAGGTTATTTAGCGCCGTAGGCAAAACTTATTAAAAGCGTCCCCCCCCCCCCCGCAATTTTTTCGTGCCCCCGTGTTATCAGAGGCGTAGCGACCCTTCCCGGTACCCGGGGACAAACTTTCGATTTGCCCCCTCCCCCTCAAACTGTCAATTTGTTTTTCCAACCCATTTTGGCGCCCCCCCCTACGGACAGCGCCCTAGGCGGCCGCCTAGTTTACCTTATATGTAGCGTCGGCCCTGGTCTTACAAGAACAAAAGTACTCTGTTCTCGCAAAGTAGATTTGGTTAGATTTTTTTTTCTCAACTTATTCGATTTCATCTGGTTCTCATAAAATAAAATGGCTGACTTTAGACTGGGTGGATACACGTTTAACAAACTTCTTTATTTGCCGAGAACAGACATAAACTTCTTTGTCCGTGGTTGAGCAGAGATAAACATCTTATTTGCCCGGCCCAGTGTATACAGAAATTTACATCTTTATTTGGCCCATGAACTATTCAAAACCTGAACACAAACACATTTTAAACTCTCTTGTCTATTTTTCTAGCGACGTAAGGCAAGGTTGATTCCAATACTTTATAACCGGCCGTACTGGCTAGGCCTCGCTCCGGCTAGCACATATGTCACTTAAAAAGATCTGAAGATATGTTATATCAGAGGCGTAGCGACCCTTCCCGACGCCCGGGGACAAACTTTCAATTTTGAATTAGCATCCCCCCCTCAAACTTTCAATTTGCACCCCCTCAAACTTTCCATTTGCACCCCCCATATATTTTTATATTTATAATGCAAAACTGCAGCTAAAATGATATTTTAATTTGTTTTTCCAACCCATTTTGGCGCCCCCTAACGTCGGCGCCCGGGGACATATGTACCTACCCGATTCCCCCCCCCCCCCCCCTCGCTACGCCTCTGTGTTATATATTTTCATACTTAAACGAGTATACTTACTTCGAAACGTAAGGGATCTGTATACTAGACTAGCTATCTGCGATGGAATTCTCTAAAGCTCCACTGTTAAGATGTACGATTCCCAGCTTATTTGTTTCATGTTAAAACTGTTTTCAAATTCAGTTTTTTAAACTTTCAGGTACTCTGTCATAGAAAGATCAGGATGGGTAAAATCGGTGACGGCGGCTGGGAGATCTGTGACGATATGGAAGTCAGGCCTAGGCAGCCCTGCATCATCTACTCTTTCGGCATCAACAACGACTTCTCTTTTGATGACGACGCGGCTAAAATATACGGGTGTCACGTGTATTGTTTTGACCCCAGTATGAATGGTCAGGATCATTACAATAGGTACAATTAATTTGAAAAAATAATATTTAAAAAAAATATCAATGGAAGTTGTAGACACACACACACACATACACACACATATACACACACGCACGCACACACAGACACACACACACGCACGCACGCACGCACGCACGCACACACAAACACACAAAAGAGCCGAACGTTTTAATTTTCGTTCAACTTACTTTTAAAAGGCTTTCAAGTCGCAGAAACACACACACACGCACGCACACACACACACACACACACACACACACACGCGCGCGCGCGCACGCAAGAGCCGAACCTTTTAATTTTCGTTCAGCATACTTTTAAAATGCTTTCAAGATCTTTATCAATGGAGGCGACCGAGTAAAGCCCCAAAGGTATTCGAGAGGCCAATTTAATATTTTAAAAATCATACACGACGTACTTAAAAAATGAAGATGGTTATAAAATCCTGTCTGCAGTAGCGTAGCGAGGGGGGGGGGGGGACATATGTCCCCGGGCGCCGGCCTTAAGGGGCGCCAAAATGGGTTGGAAAAATAAATTGAAAGGTTGAGGGGGATGCAAATCGAAAGTTTGAGGGGGGGGGGGGTGGAAATCGAAATCTTGAGGGAGGGGTGGAAATCTAAAGTTTGAGGGGGGGGGGGGGGGGGAATCGAAATCTTGAGGGGGGGGGGGGGGTGCAAATCGAAAGTTTGGGGTGTGTGCAAATCGAAATATCTTGAAGGGGGGGGGGTGCAAATGGAAAAGTTTGTCCCCTCTGCCTGTCTGGTTTTTTTTTTGGACTTTACTAAAGATTGGATGTATTTGATGTTTTTAACATTTTTGGTAACTAAATAAAATAAAAAAAAAGCAAAAACAATTTGGTTTTCACGTGTATGGGCGACATAAACAATGGCATCCATTCGATAGGCTAGCAGACATTTTATTGTACACATTGTATGTGAAAAAAAAAGGAAAAACTAGGTCATGGGGTTTAAATTTGCCTTGTTATTTAAAAACTTTATGTGCAAAATTTTGTAAACAAATAATTTTCGATCACGGAGTTCCTGTACAGCCAATCAATGTTTGTCTTACGAAAGTGAATCATCCGGTTATAACTTAGGCTTGATGAAAATAAATAGAAATGTAGCCTTAAACTCAACAAATTATTTCCCAGTTCTCTGGATTTGCAACTTTTATAACATAGATTCTTAAAATATTAAATATCTGATTTATTTTTAGGCTTTATTTTTATTTTTTATTATTTTTCCCGGTCGCTTTGATTGCAATATTTAAAATAAAGCACGTTTTTAATCCATGTCAACAATATGATGGAAGGATTCTCGCCTCCATTAGCTTTTACTTGCAAGCATATTGCTGACATGGCAATCCTTTTTGTCAAGTTTTCTCATTGAATTTTCCCTTCTTTAAAAACATCAGGTCAGACAAAGTACACTTCTACAAGATCGGCCTAGACGGGAAATCGTACACCAACAGCAAGAATTGGAACATGCTCACGTTTGCTGATATTCGGAAAAAGCTGCACCACGAAAACACGCACATCGACCTCGTCAAAATGGACATCGAGAACTCTGAATGGCCGGCCATAATGGACATGACGTCATCCGGTGCGCTAGGCGGTGTCCGGCAGTTCTTGATCGAGTACCACATGGACGGTACGACCCGTGGGGACCTCCAACCCCGGCTCAAAGCCGTGCAAGCTATTGAGGCTGCCGGCTTCAGAAAGTTTTACTCACATAAAAACGAGTTTAATAAGTATACGGTCCCAGGGTTTCCTGTGATTAGGACCACGTGCTATGAATTACATTATCTGCGCAAGTAATTAAATAGTTAGTTAGTTGATGATAGTTACTTCAAAAGAACAGTTGTTAAAAAAGTTCTATCAAAACGTTGCAATTCTCTAAACACAAGAATTAGAACAATAAGTTTTAAGCATTGTATTTAATTTTACAAATCTGTTAAAATATTAATTTTAAAAGTATTCTTAATATATGTTGAGCAGTCTTTAAAGCTCACGTTTAAAGCAAATAAAATTATTATTTATTTTTTCCAGTTAACTCGGTTATGATGAACATCTGGCTCGGATTATATCCGTGTCCTGGTGGCCTACATGACGACAGTGGGTTTGTTTTAACCGGGAGGTAACTTTGTAATTAAACTTTAGCAAAGGTACCTCGACATCAATGTTCGTTGCTTAAAAAAAAGCAGACTCTAATACATTATATTAAGAACCAAGTTATATATGAGGATAATTTCCAGTGTCCAAATTTATACATTTTTTTTCCCTCAATGCTAATGGGCAGTTTAAGTCAGGGTTTGGGACAGGGCGAGGGTGTCACACGCCCATCTCCCTGCCCCACCCCCTTCATCAGAGTATACTTATAACACACATATCGAACTCATAGGTTCCCATAATGCGTTTTATGGCAGCTCTGAATGTACTAGACATACCATTTTACTCAAAGGTAAAAGTTAAACGGGTGACGATGGGAGCACAAACAGTAAAGAAAAACATTTTTTATTTGTGTGATTTCAATTGGCTATTCACTTTTGCATTTCTATGCTTTTTATTGGATTAATGTGCATTTTTTAAAATTATTTTTTTTTTAAAATGTGTATGTCCCAATAGAAGATTGTACACACGTTGTGTAACACAGAAGGAGTCAGGAGTGGTATAACAATCATTCTATTGCGATATATGGGGTTGGAAACCATGTTACTAACACTGCCTTTTATGTTCTTTATGAAATTTTGTTTTGTCAGATTTCTGCCATTTTGAATGATTGTATGTAAAGTTAGCTTAGCTGACCAACAAATACGACTTTGCGATAGTTTTCTAGTGAAAATGTAACCATTGATTTTCTATTTAGTGTTTGATGTCGGAAAATTAGGTTTTTATTTTTTTTTAAACTAAGGATGTGGAGTAGAGATCTGAATGGTGGAGTTGGTCATTTTTCTGCTGGTGGAGTGGTGTAAGAAATAGTTAAATTTTAGAACGGCTCCGTGAAAGGAAGGGAAATAATCCTTGATTTGTTGGGAAGTTTGGTAAATTATTTTTTAAAGATGGAAAATAATATTTTCTTTTTATCGATTGCATTCCTTTTCTAATGTGTCCGTGAAAACTTTTAGTGTTTTGAAAGTAGAATCTTATTGAACTTACGTGTTTCCTTTATTTCTGGCTGCAAATATTCCACAGTACACATTAGATCCACATTCCACATGCAAGACTTACAAAAAGTACAGTTTGAGTTGGATTATTAAGTCTTGCTATTACATATGATACTTGTATCTGTTTGTTAGTCTTGCTAGTCGCTATTACAAATGAGGCTTTTATTTATGTGCTTCTTTACTGATATTTAAAAAAAAAATTCGAATTGTGTTAATTTTGAAATTGCCTTAAGACATTGTAGTTTCACTCTGTGCGACGTGAAACTAAACTAATTATTACAATTTAATTAAGTAAAAAATTAAGAATACAACGTGACAGTAATTAATATGAGTTAATATCAGGCAATTCCGTCTTAGAATCTGATTATTCTGACTCCCAATTAATTTAGTCTTTTCAAATGGTAGGTCGCACGATTCAATTTCAGAACTGAAGTTCGTCATAAATCCCCGAGTCCACTCAGCTCTAATGGGTACCTAACTTATTGTAAATAAAGGCAATAACAAAAGAACACGTGAAATCTACTTCATCTGCCATTTTAACCTAAAGGAAAGCCTAGCTTTAGAAGAAATTTTTAGATACACGTTTAATATATTTCAACATTACGTGTTTGCGTTTACTTTTAAAATGTTTTTAAAATAAAAAATAAAAAAACTATTTGAGATTTAGTTTTTAATCTTTGAAATTTTTGTCTGTTAAACTTGAAATAAAAAAATCGCTTCCAACACTAAAATTAAGAAGGAAGAAGAAGAAATAAACTACTGACTTTGAATTAACAAATGTCTAAAAAAATTTAATTCTAAGATTTATGTTTTTCTACCTACGCCATGTCTGCCAGGTTTTACAACCTACGTCCGTGATTCAGATTCTACTACCTACGTCCATTCTTTCCGGGCTTGCTACCTGCGTCCGTGCTACCAGTTTCGCTACCTACATCCAAGTTATCACGTTTTGCTACCGACCTCTATACCAACATGTTTCGCTACCTACTTGCAATTAGGCTATCAGTTATCGCTAACATCCTTGATATTACGTTACTCTTTCTCGCAACTAAAGCTAGTGACAACTCACTGATTACCACAAGTTAGTAACAACTCACTGATTACCACAAGTTAGTAACAACTCACTGATTACCACAAGTTAGTTAGATTGCCTGAAATGTCTATGAGCGTGGCACCAGTAGAGTTGAATGCCTATCAGACCCTGATTAGTGCCTTGAACTTAATTAGATATCATTTTCACCATGGCACGTGTCTAATGGGTGATGTTAATTACGCTCCAGACTCAACGAAGCCTTTTATCGATATTTTCCTCAACCAAATACAACAATTGTTCGATATGGTCACCGTTTGTAAAGGATGACCACCAAAATGTTACTGTTTCCACATGGAATATGCTAACAGTTGTATACATATAAAATATAACAATAATGGGCTTGTGGAAATATGAGAGAAAAATTAAATCATCTAAGTCTAGCCCGAATATCATCATCCCATCCACTGGCGTAGCGAGGGGGGGGGGGGGAATGCGGACCGCACCGGGTGACACCATTTAGGGGGGGTGACACCAAGGTAAAAAATAGCAAAATATATAGAGAAAAATTGATAATAGCATTTAATTAAATGATTAATTCGAGTGTTAAATAGTCGTTTAAGAGCAAAGTTGACAAATCCCGACAAACGGGGGGGGGGGGGGGGGGGGTGCAAATCGAAAGTTTGTCGGGGAAGGTGGTGCAAATCGAAAGTTTGATGGGGGGGGGGGGGAGGGTTGCATGCAAATCGAAAGTTTGAGTGCTAATCAAAAATTGAAAGTTTGTCCCCGGGCGTCGGGAAAGGTCGCTACGCCTCTGGGGGTGACACCATTAAGTGCCGCACCGTGTGACATCCGACCTCGCTACGCCACTGATCCCATCATCTTTTTCCCGTTCGTGCCCAAGACAACTTTGGCAGATTTGGCAGTTTATCTGTTTCAATGACCTCGGCATGCAAGGGGATAATGTGTTCAGCACTATGCCCAGCGGTTTTTGTTTCCCAAACGTGAGTCAGGTACCCATTAGAGCTGGGTAGACTCAAGCCCGAGATCCGAACTCGAGACTTTCGGGTTAGCGGTCTACGCTAGGTGTCTCTACCGATTTCCAACTTTCTACCGCTCGGCCACGCCGTAATTCGACTATGCTGGTAAATTAAGGTAAAATATTAACGCAAGTCCAGCCAAAATTTATGTAGTTTGAAATACTAAAACCTCCAAGTTAAATATAGCAAACTTCTTCTGGTAAGGTGAAATATTAAAACATCAAAGTTAAATACAGCAAACTTTGGTAATGTGAAATGGTAAAACATCCGAGTTAAATATAGCAAACTTTTTCTAGTAATTTGAATTACTAAAACATCTAAGTTAAAAACTTTAATATAGCAAACTTTTTCTAAAATTTTGTTTGGAGGGGGGTAAGGGATGTACGCCACCCCCCTCCCCTCCCCCGAAGACCCGAAGAGATGCCTGGAAGAAACTCTACCATGAGTAAAATGTATATGACATTACTGGCACTTGGATTCTTTGACTCTAACAAGCTTCATGTTTCGGTTGTTTCGTTACAAATTACGTTGGGTCTCTTTGTAATTTAGTTTACCCTTTGTATGATTAGAACACATACCAACACAAAGAGCTGGCCCTTATATAAACCCGGGTACAAACGTGTGAGCAGTAACACTGAAATTTGTGCTGTCAAGGTAAGCTCTCGTTCAATTCATTGTTTAAAGTGTAGGTATAATCTTCTTGTTTTTAAATGTGTTGTGTTTTTTTTGTTCTATTTTAAATCTTGTAAGAAAAAAAAGGAAAAATATCTATTTTTTTTATTAACAAAGCTTTTCATTGTGTTGTAATTTTAAAACCTTATTTTCTAAAATAAGGCATGAATGTAACGTTATCATATCAATGATCTATTTTAATGAAAGATAACCATGGTGATAAAGGAGGTTATCGTTCTTGGACTGGTACTTGCCCTTGTTGCTTCTGAATCGTACTTCCCGGATTCGATTTGCAGGACGCGTTGTGATGTGGATCTACGCATTTTAAATAGGTGTTTTCAGGATAAAAGTAAAGTAAACTTTCTCTTAAAGTAAACGTTTTCATAAAGTAAACAATTTCATAAAATAAAGTGAACATTTCAATAAAGTAAAGTAAACATTAGGTAAAGTTGGAATGCGCATGCCCAATAAACAATTTACCGAATCCTTTCCGCTATAGATATTATAACCTAAGATATTACACAACTGTAATATTTTTTTATCAAATAAAGACACCGTAAGTCTATGTAGTTCTATTTAGCGTGCGACATTTGGCCTATAGATAAAGCGTCTGATTTCTGATCAGAAAATAGAACTATTATAATTTATCTGCCCAATAAGCAAACAGATTGAGCTGGAATGGCTGAATATGAAAGAGAGCTTTCTATTTATTTTTGAGGTTAAACTTTGGTCTATCGCGAGAAAAAAATAAAGGGGGTAGGGAGGGTTTCAGGAAAAATTGACGATGGGGTTTAAAATCAGAGCAGACAATAGAAAAGGCCATCGTCTGCTTCAGAGATTGAGAAAGATGTAAAGCTGCAGTGTACAAAAGACGAGCCCGTGGATTTTAAACTGGGTAAATTAATTTGTTGAATGAGCAGCCACATGTATATCAACATAGCTCACACCGTGTTCGTTAGGTCATTATCTTGTATGGAGAATTTGTTGGTTAGTTAAGTTATCTTTTATTGTGCTGTGCTTGTGTGATCGGCGAAGACAGCAGGACAGAAATCTGGAGAACTGTAGTTGGTGGCCCATACTCCAGCAGGACAGAGAACTCTGGAGAGCTGTAGTTGGTGGCCCATACTCCAGCAGGACAGAGAACTCTGGAGAGCTGTAGTTGGTGGCCCATACTCCAGCGGGACAGAGAACTCTGGAGAGCTGTAGTTGGTGGCCCATACTCCAGCAGGACAGATAACTCTGGAGAGCTGTAGTTGGTGGCCCATACTCCAGCAGGACAGAGAACTCTGGAGAGCTGTAGTTGGTGGCCCATACTCCAGCAGGACAGAGAACTCTGGAGAGCTGTAGTTGGTGGCCCATACTCCAGCAGGACAGAGAACTCTGGAGAGCTGTAGTTGGTGGCCCATACTCCAGCAGGACAGATAACTCTGGAGAGCTGTAGTTGGTGGCCCATAATCCAGCAGGTCAAATAACTCTGGAGAGCTGTAGTTGGTGGCCCATACTCCAGCAGGACAGATAACTCTGGAGAGCTGTAGTTGGTGGCCCATACTCCAGCAGGACAGAGAATTCTGGAGAGCTGTAGTTGGTGGCCCATACTCCAGCGGGACAGAGAATTCTGGAGAGCTGTAGTTGGTGGCCCATACTCCAGGAGGACAGATAACTCTGGAGAGCTGTAGTTGGCGGCCCATACTCCAGCAGGACAGAGAACTCTGGAGAGCTGTAGTTGGTGGCCCATACTCCAGCAGGACAGAGAACTCTGGAGAGCTGTAGTTGGTGGCCCATACTCCAGCAGGACAGATAACTCTGGAGAGCTGTAGTTGGTGGCCCATACTCCAGCAGGTCAAATAACTCTGGAGAGCTGTAGTTGGTGGCCCATACTCCAGCAGGACAGAGAACTCTGGAGAGCTGTAGTTGGTGGCCCATACTCCAGCAGGACAGAGAACTCTGGAGAACTGTAGTTGGTGGCCCATACTCCAGCAGGGCAGAGAACTCTGGAGAGCTGTAGTTGGTGGCCCATACTCCAGCAGGTCAAATAAATCTGGAGAGCTGTAGTTGGTGGCCCATACTCCAGCAGGACAGAGAACTCTGGAGAGCTGTAGTTGGTGGCCCATACTCCAGCACGACAGAGAACTCTGGAGAGCTGTAGTTTGTGGTCCATACTGAAGCAGGAAAGAAATTTGATGAACTGTAGTCTGTAGTTATACTCCAAGAGTAGTCTATAGCCGATAAGATATCTTTGTAAACGGGTGTGTGAAAAATGTGTTTCCAGCCCCTAGTTCGTTATATAGCATGACGTGATAAGTTTTGTGTTTGAAGACAACTTGTAATAAATTGTAATTATAAGTACAACTAATATTTTTAAATCATTTTATAATTGTTTTACAGAGGCATGCAAGAAACTAAACCAGAGTGCGTTGAAGGAAGCCTGCTACAAGAAATGCACGAACAGCTATGACGTGTGCTCCCAGAAAACATGCCATGGAAAAAGCAACTGCTTTAGCAATTGCCTCAACAAGCAACTCCAGTGTTTAAACGCCAAGAAGAAAACCCCTAACGACATAATAATAATAGATTGAAGGAAACAAAATGAAGAATTCGACACTTAAGCCATTTAATTTGCATGATTGTATAATTTACATATAAAGCTACAATTTTAAATAAGTAATAACTGCATGCATCGAAATAACACCAGGGTATGATACCCAAGCCAAATCCCAGTTTGGAAATCGGTACATTGATTTGATTTAAAAATAATTAGATTAAGACTTTTAAACAAAGTAATGAAATTTTATTTAGAGAAACCACCAGCTTTGTACTTTCAGACCGTAACACTTTTGTTTTTAAAGATTAATATATTGTCTAAATTTCAGTGCTGTAATTCTTTCCTTTAAGTGGCTGTCCCAACAACACTTATTTGTTTCGAGTGCTCTTGTTGTGCTCTTGTTTTTACTTAGACAACAACAAAGCACTGTTTTTTTTAAAATAAAGTTATTCATAAACTATATAAATAAATAAATCGCATGAAGCATAAATCAAAGTGTTGTTCAATATATAATTTCAGTTTATTTAAAAAGTTGTATTTGTTATGATGTTAAGTGCTTTGTATATCGATGGAATTTTAAGTCTGCAGAAATTCTTGCACGGTCTGTTTTAATGTCAACATGCAGATTGCCAAGTGGGTAGGGGGTCAAAGTGGACATTGATCGAGTACCACATGGACGGTACCACCCGTGGGGACCTCCACCCCCGGCTCAAAGCCGTGCAAGCTATTGAGGCTGCCGGCTTCAGAAAGTTTTACTCACATAAAAACGAGGTTAATAAGTATACGGTCCCAGGGTTTCCTGTGATTAGGACTACGTGCTATGAATTACATTATCTGCGCAAGTAATTAAATAGTGGGTTAGTTGATGGTTTACAACAGATTCTGCTACCTACGTCCGTTCTTTCCGGGGTTGCTAGCTACGTCCGTGCTACCAGTTTTGATATTACATCCATGTTACATTGTTTTGCTACTCTACTTCGTGTACATCTCTACAAGGTTTGCTACCCACCTCTATACTAACACGTTTCGCTACCCACCTACCCACCTCTATACCAACACGTTTCGCTACCCACCTACCCACCTCTATACTAACACGTTTCGCTACCCACCTACCCACCTCTATACCAACACGTTTCGCTACCCACCTACCCACCTCTATACTAACACGTTTCGCTACCCACCTACCCACCTCTATACTAACACGTTTCGCTACCCACCTACCCACCTCTATACTAACACGTTTCGCTACCCACCTACCCACCTCTATACTAACACATTTCGCTACCCACCTACCCACCTCTATACCAACACGTTTCGCTACCCACCTACCAACCTCTATACTAACACATTTCGCTACCCACCTACCAACCTCTATACCAACACGTTTCGCTACCCACCTACCAACCTCTATACCAACACGTTTCGCTACCCACCTACCAACCTCTATACTAACACGTTTCGCTACCCACCTACCAACCTCTATACTAACATGTTTCGCTACCCACCTACCAACCTCTATACTAACACGTTTCGCTACCCACCTACCAACCTCTATACTAACACGTTTCGCTACCCACCTACCCACCTCTATACCAACACGTTTCGCTACCCACCTACCCACCTCTATACCAACACGTTTCGCTACCCACCTACCCACCTCTATACCAACACGTTTCGCTACCCACCTCTATACCAACACGTTTCGCTACCCACCTACCCACCTCTATACCAACACGTTTCGCTACCCACCTACCCACCTCTATACCAACACGTTTCGCTACCCAACTCTATACCAACACATTTCGCTACCCACCTACCAACCTCTATACCAACACGTTTCGCTACCCAACTCTATACCAACACATTTCGCTACCCACCTACCCACCTCTATATCAACACGTTTCGCTACCCACCTCTATACCAACACGTTTCACTACCCACCTCTATACGAACACGTTTCGCTACCCACATCTATACCAACGCGTTTCACTACCCACCTCTATACGAACACGTTTCACTACCCACCTCTATACCAACACGTTTCACTACCCACCTCTATACCAACACGTTTCACTACCCACCTCTATACCAACACGTTTCGCTACCCAACTCTATACCAACACATTTCGCTACCCACCTACCAACCTCTATACCAACACGTTTCGCTACCCAACTCTATACCAACACATTTCGCTACCCACCTACCCACCTCTATATCAACACGTTTCGCTACCCACCTCTATACGAACACGTTTCACTACCCACCTCTATACCAACACGTTTCACTACCCACCTCTATACCAACACGTTTCACTACCCACATCTATACCAACACGTTTCACTACCCACATCTATACCAACACGTTTCACTACCCACATCTATACCAACACGTTTCACTACCCACCTCTATACCAACACGTTTCGCTACCCACCTCTATACCCACCTCTAAACCAACAAGTTTCGCTACCCACCTCTATACCCACCTCCAGAGGCGTAGCGAGGGGGGGGGGGGGCGGGGAGTGCGGACCGCACCGGGTGACAACATTTAGGGGGGTGACACCAAGGCAAAAAATTGCAAAATATATAGAGAAAAATTTGAGGGGGGGGGGTGCAAATCGAAAGTTGGAGGGGGGTGCTAATCGAAAACTTGAGGGGGGGGGGTGCAAATTGAAAATTTGAAAGTTTGTCCCCGGGAAGGGTCGCTACGCCTCTGGGGGTGACACCATTACGTGCCGCACTGGGTGACACCTGACCTCGCTACGCCACTGCCCACCTCTATACCGACACTTTTCGCTACCCCCATCTATACCAACACGTTTCGCTAGCCATAAACTTGCCACTAAGCTATCCGGTATCGCTAATGTCCTTGATATCACGTTACTCTATCTCGCAACTAAAGCTAGCGACAACTCACCGATTACCACAAGTTAGGAACAGTTCCCTGATTGCAGGAAATGTCTATGAGCGTGGCACCAGTACAGTTGAATGCCTATCCGACCCTGATTAGTGCCTTTAACTTAATTAGATATCATTTTCACCATGGCACGTGTCTAATAGGTGATGTTAATATTGCTCACTCCAGCCTTAATGAAGCATTTTTATCTATATTTTCAACAACCAAATAAAACAATTGTTCGATATGGAAACCGTTGTAAAGGATCACTACCAGAAGGTAACAGTTGCCACCAGTGGCGTAGGCAGGGGGGGGGGGGGGGGTTAGGGGGGGTCATAACCCCCCCCCCATAGATCCCTCGGTATATAGAAAACGTATGAGGGGGGTGCAAATCGAAAGTTTGAAGGGGGGGGGGATGCAAATCGAAAGTTTGTCCCCGGGTAAAAATTGGAACCCCCCCCCCCCCTTGAGACGATCCTGGCTACGCCACTGGTTGCCACATTGAAGATGTTATATTATTGTATAGATATAACGGTAATGTGGAGGGGGTAGTGGAAATATCATCACCACATCATCTTTTGCCGTTCGTGCCCAAGACTTTCGGGTATTTATATCTAACGCTACCAGTTGCTACCTATGTCCAACGCTCTACCGCTCGGCCACGCCGTAATTCGAATGCATTGGTAAATTCAAGTAAAATACTAGCAGCAAATCCAGCCAAAAATTTATGGTAATTTGAAATACTTAAACATCCAAGTTGAATATAGCAAACTTTTTCTGGTAAGGTGAAATACTAAATATTCACTAGCCAATGTTTTTTTTAGTGATGTTCTAATACTAAAACATTTAATTCGTAACAAAATTTACTGGTAGTGTGTAATGCTAAAACATTTAATTCTAGCCAACGTTTACTGGTAAGGTGTAGTACTAAAACATTTAATTCTAGCCAACGTTTATGATGAGTGGTGAGTAAAATACATTTGACATTACTGGCTCTTGGATTGTTTGACGCTAGCGAGCTTTAAGTTTCCGTTGTTTTGTTGTTAATTACGCGTTGGGTCTCTTTGTAATTTATTTTAACCTTTATACGACGAAAACCCACACCAACACAATTAGGTGTCTCTTATATAAACCAAGGACACAATAGTGTAAACAGTGACGCTGGTACTTGTGTTGTTAAAGTAGGCTCTCGTTCAATTCGCTGGTTAAATTGTAGGTATAATTTTCAAGTTTTAATGTTTTGTGTTTTTACAAGATTTTATTTAACTCACTTTCTCGTCAGTCTGTCGTCAGTCGTCAGCCTGTCGTAAGTCTGTCTAGATCGAAACGCCCGAGGCACTTCTAACTGACAAATACGGTTTTTAATTTTGTACGTGGGTCAAGCCATAAAGACAATGCAACCTGACATTAAATTTGACTTAATTGGTTGCCTAATTATTTTTTATGAATTAATTAAAATTTTGCACAAATTAGTAGGCTGTCTCATCCAACTATACGGCACTATTAGACACGCGTCATCGCACTAATTAGGTGCACAATGGTTTTTAGTCATGCAACTCTAGTGTAAACAGGGCCGGCGCTATCTATAAGGCGAACTAGGCGGTCGCCTAGGGCGCCATCCCTAGGGAGGCGCAAAATGTTTAATCGCTGTTATCAAAGGTACCTAATAATTAATAACTTTTATAAAGGAGTAGCGATCTAATTCGGCACCCAAGACGAACCATCAATTTTGCACCCCCACCCCAAAATTATATCTATATAGGTCTATATTTATTCGCGATGGTGAAAATGCGACACCACCACATCCCTAATTTGGAAAGGTCGGGGCGCTTTTCATCAGTCACTTTGCCTTGTTGATTTGGTATCACATAATTGATGTAGAAAACGATTTATCAAGTTCCTTACTTAAATTTCAAACATTTCAAACGGTTATTTAATTTTCATTTTCATTTTCTCTGACTTTGAATTAGAAATCTTTCCTGATGTACCGAGTTTTGTAATGACGGGGTGTTCAAAGTATAGTACTTGTTTGGAAAGTTTTGATGAATCGTTTAGATTTGGGAGTAGCGGGGGAAGGCTGTTGCTGATATAGTTCAGTAGGTATGAAGTATCGAAGTGTTAAAGTGTTATAATTTTTATTCGGCTGTTTTGTAGTTGAAGGTCTAGTGGAATCTGATTGGTAATAGAGAAATGATGAAATAGATGAAATGATGAAGCAGGGGATGAAGTATCGTAGTTCTGGAGTTCAGGAGTATTCTTCTTCTTCTTCTTCGTTCTTAATTATTAGTGTTGAAGGGGATCGAGATTTATCTGCCAGTGGGTTTGAACTCGAGACTTTGTTCGAATTTATCAACCATGAGCTTTTTGCCGACTCGACCACGCCTCCAACACAATTAAGCGTTACGTGTCAACTGGTTATGCGCCATTGAGGCCATTGACTCCGATTTCAGCCTGCTTTTCTTTTTGGATTTGCTTCCATAGCCTTTGTCCAACCAAGAACAAACTACAAGGCAGCAGTTGTTTAATTTTGGAGTTGTCTCTCCTAGAAGAGTGGCTGTCCCCAGCTAACGAGCCTCATCTGCCCGAGTCAGGAGTATTGATTCTTGTGGTATTAAGGTATCGAATTATATTGACTGTTAAAGTGTAGTAGTAGGTCCAGTGAAATCGTTGTTGATTGGGAGTATCGTTTGTAGAGCTTGGTGAAGCTAAACGAGTCGGTGTCGTAGTTCTGGAGTATCGAATCTACATTGAATCTACTTAGGTTTAGGTATCGAAGTTTGATATGTGTTGTGAATGTAGTAGAGTATATCAAGTAGTTAGTTTAACTTAAGTTAGATGATTTTAATTCAGTACGGAACACACTAGCATGATAGGTAAGCGTTTTCTAGTTGAAAAATGTTTAGCTTTTTAGGAATCTATATTACCACTCTTAAATTATTAATATATACTATTAAATAGGGTGGAATTTATAACTAACCGTAAACGTTTTCTTTTCAAATATTTTTTTTTTAATTTAATCAATATTTTCTTATGTCTAGAACAGGGGTCAGCAACCTGCGGCTCGCGAGCCGCATGCGGCTCTTTTGATATCAATATGCGGCTCTCCAGCTCCTTGCACAAATACTAATAATCTTAATTAAAAAAAAATATATATTTGAAATAAAAAAATGTTAGTGGCTCTTTAAAACCAGGGAAATTTTGAAAATTGCAAATTTTGGCTCTTCCGCTTCAAAAGGTTGCCAACCCCTGGTCGGCAACCTTTTGAGACGGAAGAGCCAAAAGTTGCAATTTACAAAATTTCCCAGTTTTAAAGAGCCACACACATTTTTTATTTCAATATTATGATATTTTATTAAGATAATATATATATATATATATATATATATATATATATATATATATATATATATATATATATATATATATATATATATATATATATATATATATATATATATATATATATATATATATATATATATATATAATAGAAAGTACATTGAAATAGAGAGTAAATAAATATTCTAATATAATAGCGAGTGTTTATTGTTTATATTTATTATATCATTCATCACCGAATGTTGTAGAACAATATTTTTAATTTTCGAAAATAAAAAAAAAATTCAAATAGGTGTGCATGGAGCTGAAGAGCCGCATCTTGACATCAAAAGAGCCGCATGCGGCTCGCGAGCCGCAGGTTGCCGACCCCTGGTCTAGAACGGTTAAACATGTTTGATTATTGAAAGGTGTCACTTTATTTAGATTTTTTTTTATTTTATGTATTTTATTTTATTTTTTTAACAAAGAATTAGTATTATTTTTTATTTAAGTGATGTGATGGGACAAGCGCATCTTTATTTATTTTTTTATTTTTTTCTTCTTTTGCTTTCTCTCTTTTTTTTTCTTTTTTTTTCTTTTTTTTTTTGCCTCAGACATGTAATTTACAGCGTCAGTTGTGTGTTCGCTTTAGTATTACAGTTTTCATCATCGGCTTGTGAGGACTGATACAGATTTACAATAGTAATATTTCTTTCTTACTTGTAGCCTACTTTCATTCATTTAAGATGGTTTACTTATACATAGGTCTAATACAAAACGTCTAAATAAAAAAATTAAAAATTAAAAAATAAATAAAAAACAACATGAAAATGCAAATGTGTAATTAAATGATGATTCAAGGGATTTTTTTTCCTGGGCGTGGTGGGTGAGGGGGCGGGGCGGTGTAGAACAAGCGCATCTTTATTTAGGGGATTCAAAATTATAAAAATCATATTTCTGACATGGTAATACAATATAATATATGTCATCGAACTTGAATAGAAGTATATTATAATAATGCTACCGCTTTTATACTTTCAAATAACACCTATAGTTAAGTATTCAATAGGTAAAATATATTGTTTTTACAAGATTACATAGCTAATGCAAAAGATTTAATACTACTATTTAGTAATGAAATTTAGAGCTATATATTCTGTTTGTCTAGCATGTTATAGTTACACTTGGTTAATTTAGCTATTCTTGTGAATGTTATTTCCCTTTAATAAAATTTTGTTATTTGGATTTTCAAATATGAGATAATTCGTTGCTTAACTGTACATTCATTTCTAATTCATGCACCTTAGGTTGACCGCTTACATATAAATACAACTTTAAGTTATTATTTGCTATTGTAAAAATTACATAGAGCTTAAGTTCTAAACAAAATAGTTTGGTTGTTTTTTTTAGCATTATCAAGTTGAAAAACAAATACATCGGTAGCCTATATAGGTTGCAATTGTTAGAAGACATACAGTCTTAGTTGTAAATGAAAGATCTAAGCAATTGTCTTTTCATATCTTTCACCCTCTCCTAAAGGATTTATATATAACAATTTTAAGGGAAGCACTTAAAATTTTCTAAAAGGGGGGGGGGGGGGGGGGGGCTATGTCGTAAAGTACAAAGTAGACTCGTGCACTTAGCAACAATTTCAATATAATGTAATTGCAAATTGGAATTGAAGGAATTAGTACAAACATTTGCGACGAAAGAGGCAAGTAAAATTTGATTTTGCTGTCTTCTTATAACGTGTATGCAATTGATAATAAATTAATGTCACTTTTAATTAATTGTTTTCTTATACATATGTTAATTTGTATGAAAGGGGCCGTTTTAATAAGTTTTGCCTAGGGCGCTAAATAAATTGTCGCCGGCACTGAGTGTAAATTAAACGTTAAAGTACTAAAAACAATTCATAAAAAACATTTTAATAACAAGGTTTTCTGATATAATGCACTAAAAAGTAGAAAATAAATTATACACTACTATTTAAATAACCATAAAGTAAAGCGTGGGTTTTTTCCTTAATATTAGTAAAGGTATCCAATAGATACTAAAGCGACCCACGCATTTCTTTATAGTTATTTAATAGTAGTGTATAATTTATTTTCTACTTTTTAGTGCATTATAACATAAAACCCTGTTTTTTTTTAAAAAATATTTTTTTTCTTTTAAATAGTAATAAAAAAGAATTAATATCTATTTTTTTTAACAAAGCTTTTCATTGTGTTTAAATTTTAAAACCTTTTGTTTTATGTAATGTTATCCATGATCTATTTTATTGAAAGATAACCATGATGCTAAAGGAGGTTATCGTTCTTGGACTAATGCTTGCCCTTGTTGCTTCTGATTCGGACCCCAGGGATTTTTTTTGCAGCAAACGATGTAATGTGGATCTACTTACGTTAAAGAGATGTTTTCAGGATAAAAGTAAAGTAAACTTTTTCATAAATATTGGTATAAAGTAAACATTTTCACAGAGTAATGTAAAGGATTTGATAAATTAAAGTAAACACTTTGATAAAGTAAAGTAAACATTTCAATAGAATAAAGTAGACAATGTGATGGCTTTAAGTATAAAGTAAACATTTTCACAGAGTAAAGTAAAGGTTTAAATAAATTAAACTAAACATTTTGATAAAGTAAATTAAACATTTCAATAGAGTAAAGTAGATAATGTGCTGGCTTTAAACAAAGTTGGGATGAGTATGCTGAATAAACGATCAACCGAACCCCTTCCGATATAGATTTTAAAACCTAAGCTATTACACAAGTGTATACTATTCTATTTATCAAATAAGGACACTAAGTACAGTTCTATTTAGAGTGCGACTAGTCGCCTACGTATTAAGCGTCAGATTTTAGATCAGAAATTTGCCTCTTTTCTAATTAGTCTGGACAATCAGCAAACAGATTGATCTGGTATGCATAGAGAGTGTTCTATTTATTATTCAGTTTAAGCTTTGGTCTAAGGAAAGAAAAAAAGTCAGGGGTAGGGAGAGGTTCGGGAAAAATTGACGGAGGGATTTAAAATAAATGTAAACTTGCCTTGAACAAAATGCGAGTCAGCGGATTTTAAACTGGGATGAAGTAATTTGCCGAATGAGCAGTGATATGTTCATCAACATGTCTCATAGCGTGTGCGTTAGACCATCTTCTTGCATATTGTTGTTTATGATTCCTGAAGACAGCAGGACAGAAAACTCTGGAGAGCTGTAGTAGGTGGCTTATACTCCAGCAGGACAGAAAACTCTAGAGAGCTGTAGTTGGTGGCCCATACTCCAGCGGGACAGAAAACTCTGGAGAACTGTAGTAGGTGGCCCATACTCCAGCAGGACAGAGAACTCTGGAGAGCTGTAGTTGGTGGCCCATACTCCAGCAGGACAGAGAACTCTGGAGAGCTGTAGTTGGTGGCCCATACTCCAGCAGGACAGAGAACTCTGGAGAGCTGTAGTAAGTGGCCCATACTCCAGCAGGACAGAAAACTCTGGAGAGCTGTAGTAGGTGGCCCATACTCCAGCAGGACAGAGAACTCTGGAGAGCTGTAGTTGGCGGCCCATACTCCAGCAGGACAGAGAACTCTGGAGAGCTGTAGTTGGTGGCCCATTCTCCAGCAGGACAGAGAACTCTGGAGAGCTGTAGTTGGTGGCCCATACTCCAGCAGGACAGAGAATTCTGGAGATCTTTAGTTGACGCCCTTACTCCAGCAAGACAGAGAACTCTGGAGAGCTGTAGTTGGTTGTCCTTACCCCAAGAGTAGTCTAGAGCCAATAGGATATGTTTGTATATGCGTGTGTGGAAAATGTGTTTACAGCCCCTAATTTGTTAATTAGTATGGCGTGATCAATTTCTGTTTGAAAACAATTAACTTTTTAAATTTTTCAATGTTTGTTTTACAGAGGCATGCAAGAAACTAGACCAGCCTGAGTTAATGGAAGCCTGCTACAAGAAATGTATGAACAGCTATGACATGTGTGCCAAACAACCATGCCGTGGTAAAAACAACTGCTTGGACAAATGCCTCAACAAGCAACTCCAGTGTTTGAACGCCAAGAAGAAAACCCAGACCAAGAAGACGAAAACAGATTGAAAGAAACAAATGAAGAATTCGACACTTCAGGCATTTAGTTTTACATGATTGTATAACATTTTAAAATAAAAACTACAATTTTAAAAAGTAATAACTGTAAGCAGCAAAATAACACCATGGTATAATACCCAAGCCATATCACACTTTGGAGATCGATATATTAATTTGTTTTCTTTAGGTAGATTTAAACTTTTAAAAAATGTAATGCATTTTTTTAGAGATACTACCAGCTTTGTACTTTCAGACCGTAACACTTTTGTTTTTAAAGATTGATATATTGTCTGAACGTCAGTGTTGTAATTGTTTTCTTCAAGTGGCTGTCTCAACAACACTTACCTTAGGACCTAACCTTTTTGTTTTCTAATATAAACCTATTGTCTGAACGTCAGTCGTCTAATTGTTTCCTTCAAGTGGCTGTCTTAACTACACTTATTTGTTTCGAGTGCTCTTGTTTTTACTTAGACAACAACAAAGCACTGTTTATTTTTTTAAAATAAAGTTTTCATAAAACATATAAATAAATCAATCGCATGAAGTTTAAATCAAAGTGTTATTCAATGTATAATTTTAGTTTATTTACAAAGTTGTATTTGTTACGATGTTAAGTGCTTTGTATATCGATGGAATATTAAGTCAGCATGAACTCTTGCAGTGTCTGTTTTCATGTCAACATGCAGATTGCCAAGTGGGTGAAAGGGGGGGGGGGAGTTGGGTGTTGTATCCTATTATAATGAAATTTATCAGTACGGTTTATATGAAGGCGTAATGAAAAAGAGGTGTAGTTACTAAAACTAGAGTATATAATTTGTCCGTAAAATGTTTAACGAACCATGAAAATAATTGGAGGAAAATCTGATTTCTAAGCACCACCTTTTCAGCCTACTCCAACCATTTCATGTTTCAATATTTCATAATATATTTTATAAAGTAGTATCTAATGTAATTAACCTTATCTAAGCAATTAACCCTTCAACAGACCTGAACCATAGCCTATAAACAAAAAGCTGTATTTTTGTAATATTCGCTCGTGTGTATAATGTATAAGGAAAAGTACGTGTTCATAGGGGTCATCCATTTATGACGTCGGATTTTCACCTCCCTTCCACTCCCCCACCTGTCCATACGTGTCCACAAAAGTCGATTATTTTCGGACCCCACCCCCTCTCTCCCAAGTGGACGTCACATTTAGATGATCCCTAATACGGATGTATTTATATAATGAACTGTTATATGCATCGGCCTCTGTTGTTTATAAATGAATAATTTATATTTTAAATATCACATATGTGATAAAGTCAAACCCAGTTCACTTTATTGTGAATATGATTATTTATCAATTTAAAAAAAAATCAGTTCATGTTTCATCAATTCGCTTCACCACGTAAAAAGAGAGATAACTCAATCCAGTAAATCAATGTGAGTTAAGATAATTACTGAGAGTGAAGAGAGTTGAACACTTCATAGAATAACAAAGCCCCACATCGTCTGTGTTTTTATTTCTTTTCTTCTTGTGAAATGTATTATCTTACCAAATTCAATACCGGCTCAAAGTCTCATTACTAAGATCGTAAAATACTCGACAAACCACCAGAGGTTCAGGCAGATGATAGGCTAAGGATAGAGTAATATTTCTAGACATCTAGACATAAAGACGAAAGGCTAAGGATAGAGTAATATTTCTAGACATCTAGACATAAAGACGAAAGGCTAAGGATAGAGTAATATTTCTAGACATCTAGACATAAAGACGAAAGGCTAAGGATAGAGTAATATTTCTAGACATCTAGACATAAAGACGAAAGGCTAAGGATAGAGTAATATTTCTAGACATCTAGACATAAAGACGAAAGGCTAAGGATAGAGTAGTATTTCTAGACATCTAGACATAAAGACGAAAGGCTAAGGATAGAGTAATATTTCTAGACATCTAGACATAAAGACGAAAGGCTAAGGATAGAGTAATATTTCTAGACATCTAGACATAAAGACGAAAGGCTAAGGATAGAGTAATATTTCTAGACATCTAGACATAAAGACGAAAGGCTAAGGATAGAGTAATATTTCTAGACATCTAGACATAAAGACGAAAGGCTAAGGATAGAGTAATATTTCTAGACATCTAGACATAAAGACGAAAGGCTAAGGATAGAGTAATATTTCTAGACATCTAGACATAAAGACGAAAGGCTAAGGATAGAGTAATATTTCTAGACATCTAGACATAAAGACGAAAGGCTAAGGATAGAGTAATATTTCTAGACATCTAGACATAAAGACGAAAGGCTAAGGATAGAGTAATATTTCTAGACATATAGACATAAAGACGAAAGGCTAAAGATAGAGTAATATTTCTAGACATCTAGACATAAAGACGAAAGGCTAAGGATAGAGTAGTATTTCTAGACATCTAGACATAAAGACGAAAGGCTAAGGATAGAGTAGTAGTTCTAGACATCTAGACATAAAGACGAAAGGCTAAGGATAGAAAAATATTTCTAGACATCTAGACATAAAGACGAAAGGCTAAGGATAGAGTAATATTTCTAGACATCTAAACATAAAGACGAAAGCGAAAGCGCGGTCTACTTTTAATTTATTGTTGACATGACATTTGCGGATCCTGGTAATTATGTGAGCTCATTACGTTAAAATTCGGTGAGCTCCGCACCCTCTACCTGCCATCTCTTTGTGACGTCAACAGTTACACAGTTTCCCACAAATCACCTTGTGACGTAAATAGGTACACAGTTTCCCACAAATCTCCTTCTTTAAGTTACAGCGGATGTTAACAGGAAATTGATGGGAACTGTGGAAGTTATGACTCACTTTTTCCTTTTTAAAATAACGAATATAGTTTCTTTTTCGGAGAGGTAATTTCTATACATATCTAAGGAATTGGCAATCACAAAATGTAGGTATTTCTGAGGGTCATACCAAATCCAGAAGAGACATACTTATTGTATATGCATTAACATAAGGCATACACACAAACTTAAGCTCACTTTAAGCTAAATTTAGTGTTTAATTTTTTAAAATTATTCCGATAAAACATTCAACAGGACTGTTGTATTCACAAAGCGAACTCTTTATCAGCGACTCTGAAGTTATATAGAAAACAAATGTGTATTGGATCATACCAGGCCAAATAATGTGTTAACTGAGATCTAGCGAATAAAGAGATTGTAATGTCTGGTTATCATTATTTTAACTACGCAGTTCATACACTTAAAAACTGTTCCTAAAAGGGCTCTAATTTCGAAAAGTTTCCTTGAAATATCAACCCATTACGTCAATCAAACAACTTTGGATACAACTTTTTTTCTCACGCACGTAGGCCTATACTTGCTCCCCACAATAATTTAACCCGTGTCCCGTCGTGATCCGGGTAATTAACTAGTACTTTGAAAAAAAAACCCTGCCCACGCTTGTAGCTGGCTGTTATAAAAAAACGTCAGAACACGTCGACTGGGGACAATTGTTTTACAGGAGACAGAACAATCAGAGCAGCTGTAATTGAAGTGTCAACCATAAGTGCTTGTCTAACTCGCTATTTAACGTAGGTATAGTTGTCACTTGTGTGTTTTGGTTTACGTTATAGTTAAGTCGTAGTAACTGAGAGTTTACTGTAAGTACACAAATAATTATAGAAAATAGGTTACTTCGTTTTTATTTTTAGAATAGATTGAAAATTTTAAAACAATAAAGCTTGTTTAAATGACATTTATTTTTATACTTTGACACAAATACTTTGTATCATAAAAATTAAGTTTAAGAAAAGTATAACAATTAGAATATAGTTGTTTCTACTTGTTGTTTCTTTTTTTTTTTTTTTTTTTTTTTAAAAAAAAAAAGATTATTTGATACTTTAAGGTAAAAAATTACTCCAAGAATAATTTACTTTTATAGACGTTAAGTTGTAAAATAAAAATAAGAAACAAATGTTAACTATTTTGTAATTATAATATAGTTATTTTTAAAAAAGTGTGTGATATTTTGAGATAAAATAATAACTACATGAATATTTTTTCCTTAGATTGAACCATGATGCTGCTGAAGGAGATTATCGTTCTTGGGCTGGTTCTTTCCTTTGCTGCCGCTGATTCTGACCCTAGGGATAATTTTTGTTCCTGGACGTGTGTAGTTCACCAACATGAAACCGACAAATGTGTGCTGGACAATGGTAAACTTTTTTTTTTACTGATTTTATTAAACACTATCTTGCATGAACTTGTAAACGTTTTAACACAGTTTTAAACTACCTTGTTCGCGAAAACACAATAGACTGAAATTTATCAGAAATTACTTGTTGAATCATTGAATCATATAGTATATATATATATATATATATATATATATATATATATATATATATATATATATATATATATATATATATATATATATATATATATATATATATATATATATATTAAACTAAAACATCTATCGTTATGACGTTTATTCAAGATTGAAGATGTATCCCTGATCCCTGGTCTAATTGTATTAGCTTTTAAGAATAAGCCTTTGTCTTATTGTGATAGTCTTGATATTAAGCACCTCCCCCCCCCCCCCCCCACATACACATTTCACAGCTATTGGCATAAGAGCACAGGTTTGGAATTCTTTCGCTCTAGACAATGTTTTTAAGTTGGAAACTTTTCATTCACTACCTTTAAGAAAGACCTCAACGAATCATTAGTATTGGATTAGTGGAGTACTTCACTCTATATAATGAAAATATAAGGCTAGTGAATAGAGATGCACTGTGTGTATGTGTATGTGTGTGTGTGAGTGAGAAGGCATGAGAGTGTTCGTGTTCGGCAAACATATTAAGTGTGTGTGTGTGTGTGTGTGTGTGTGTGTGTGTGTGTGTGTGTGTATGAACGTTTTAAAGAACGGGACGATTTACTCGACTATAAAATACTTCTTTTGCAAGACAGTATCTTATAGCTCTGTAACCAAAACAAAAAAAAGCGGTTACTCGCTAATTCGTATCAAACTGTTGAATAGAAAATCAACATCAAAATTACCTGTATGATTATAATTGCAGGATTATTGTTTCCTTTTAATTACCAAATTAAAAAAAAACCTGTACGATAATCATTTACCACCCACTAATTAAATATGCGAATATCCGAGCGGTTTTATGCGGGTTAATAAACACATCCAGTCCATGTGTGTGGATGTTTTGTGAGTTTGCTTGTTATCATCGTTTTGTAATGTGAAGATCCTTTATTATTCTTTTTTGAACCCAGAACTAAGAGATGTCCAAATTTTAGCCTATTGTTAGCCATAGTCAAAAGTCTTTACAAAAGGTCTGACCCCCACCTCCCTTCCCCATCATCCCACAACTGGAACGACGTCACAAATATTAACCCATTCATTTGTAAGATATATTTGCAAATAAAATTTGTATCCTTAAATCTTACATTTGTTATATTGCCCCCTCCCCCATTCCCAGTGTCCATTAAGCAGCATAACCTCAAAATAAAGCCGGACCCCCCACCACCCTAGGTATGTGACACCAATTATGGACAACCCCTGAGGTGTTATCGAGTTAACCTTTTCAGCTCACCGTGTGACGCGGGCTATGTGACTCACGCTACAAGCACGGACTTGGTGACATTTCTCCGTGCTCACTCTTCAACACCAGGCCGACGCTTGGAACTTAACGGGCTTTCGCTTTCACCACATGGTGTGCAGGGGGCGGGGGGGGGGGGGGGTAAGACAGAAATGGGGGGAGGGTGATGCTCTCAATTCATAAACGGTGTTAAGTTTTAGTTTTTTTGTAATGGTTTTACCTCCAATTTCCAGTCAAAATGTCAGACACCCTTCATCGAATATAACGTCACTTTTAAGCCTACTACCCCATCTCAACGTTGCAATTTTTTTAAAGCAGCTGTTTTTTTTTCTAAATTATTTATTTAGTTCGATCAGCATTACTGTTTAATTTATTGTTACTGCAATTTACAGCAACATTTCTTTAAAAGCGCGAAATAATGGCTTAAAGTTAGTTTTCAACATTACGCTTTAAAAGCAAAAGTATGTCGTCACTCCTCCGCCTCGTGACACATCGTCAATTTCTGACCCCCCCCCCCCCCTCGCCTTCCTGTGAGTGTAACGACTTTTACGGACTACCCCAGGTATAGATGTATTGAAAGCTTTTGAGATATAAACACCACGTGTCCATTCGGACATTTCTCGCATTCGGGCAACTGTCCATTCGGGCATTTGTGGCATTCGGTCAACTGTCCATTCGGGCATTTGTCGCATTCGGTCAACTGTCCATTCGGGCATTTGTCGCATTCGGTCAACTGTCCATTCGGGAAATCGGCATTCGGGCAAGTGTCTTTAGGGAATTTGTCGTAGACCCCTACCTCGGGGAGGGGGGGGGCACTGCCATTTAGGGGCATCCTATAGATTATTTATATATAAAGTATATAGTAAGGGAAAAGGACGCTAGCTATTTGATATGCTAAGGGTAGGTAATCTAGTTAAAATATATTAAGGGGAGGCTACCTTGAAATAAAATTAATTCTCTTTAGTGTAAACGTTAAGTACCCTTTCGAAACACGGGTTTTCCATGTACTGATGAAATAGGGGGTCATTAATTGATATAAATTCATGAGATTGTCTAGCTTGTACACCACACAAAAGTAGACACGAGGGCTGGGCGCGAGGGGAGGGGGGTCTTTTAAAATGGTAATTTAAATTTCTTAACTTTTATTAAGTCATCAAGGCAATTACAAGTGGTGAACAAATTTACAATTATGTAATACAATCCAATATTGCATAATTAACACAACTAAGCTTAAAAGTTAGTTATGTCTTCATTTCAGTTTAAATACGATTTTTAAAATTCAATACAATTTTAAGTGCAAAATCCTATAAACCAAACATTTTAAATCCTCACCCTATACCTTACTTTCCCCAACTTGAGTCAGGTACCCATCATAGCTGTGTTAACTCAGGTACGTCCTGTAGTCCTTAGTCTGGAAATAAACAAATGAGTTTCAAGATGTTTGATATTTGTAAAAAATAATACTTGTGATGTTTTACAGACTGGAAACCTACATTAAAACTTGTGTTTGCAAGGGCTACATGATATAACCCCCCCTGATATTTTCCCCGGACATTCCACACGTATTTTACCCCGTAGCAATTACACCATGTCAATTACCCCCCTGGGGAATTACCCCCCCCCCCCCACCCAACCCATCCACCAAAATAGAATCCTGATTTTAACTCAAACTCTCTCTATATATATATATATTACCATAATCGTAACCATTACCCTAACCCTAACCCTAGCCCTAGCCCTAGCCCTAGCCCTAACCCTAACCCTAACCCTAACCCTAACCCTAACCCTAACCCTAACCCTAACCCTAACCCTAACTCTAACCCTAGACCTAGCCCAAACTCAAATCCTAGCTCTAACCCTAGCTGAACCTTATGCTATGACCGGGGGGAGGGGGTAACGTCCTACTGGGCGGGGGGTAATTGACAGGGGGGTAATGACGGGGGTGGGGAAATGTCCGGGTTGTAATGCCCTGTTACCGATTGCAAGTAGACATCATATATTAAATCGTGTGCGTTAAGAAACACTATGCTAAATGTGATATCTAAAGACACCACGCACTAACTTTATATCTGTCTATTCCTCAGGTTGCTACCAGCTGGAGCAAGGCGTAAAGAAGAACCAATGTTTCGACAACTGCCACAAGAACTCCGCGGTCGAGAGGTGCTACACCAAGTGCATCAAGCGCTACGACAAGTGCCTGATCAGGTGCAACCATGACTCGACTTGCTTCGACAAATGTGTCACGGTCAACAACAACAACGGAACACGAAAACCGAAGAAGGAAAAAAATTAAAATACTAAATATCTTTTCGTTTAGATACTATTTTATTCCGCTTACTTGTAATATTAAAAAATGAACTTTAAAAATGGTTGACGCAAGCAAAATATTAGTAATTAAACCAAAGTTGGCTGACGCATGATATTTTACAGTAAAACAGCGAATGGTGAAAGATTTTTAACGCATTTTAAAATATTTGAGTTAAAATATTAAAAAGAAATACATTTTTTCCGATTTAAACATTTCTGTTTTTTTTTATTCGTGTAACCTATTGCTTCCAAAGAAGACCAACTACTGTACAAACAATTTATTTATATTAAAAAATTGTGTACATATGTATCAAAGTTAGTTTGGTTTATTAATTATATTTAGCTACAACGGCAACGCATTTATATAACCACGTTTGAAGTATTTAGCGTAAAAAAAAATGTATGAAGCATAAGGATTTGAGTATTTATTTTAATAAAAGAAATAATTTGGTTAGCTGCCTTTTTATTTTTTTGTCTGTCTGTCTGTCTGTCTGTCTGTCTGTCTGTCTGTCTGTCTGTCTGTCTGTCTGTCTGTCTGTCTGTCTGTCTGTCTGTCTGTCTGTCTGTCTGTCTGTCTGTCTGTCTGTCTGTCTGTCTGTCTGTCTGTCTGTCTGTCTGTCTGTCTGTCTGTCTGTCTGTCTGTCTGTCTGTCTGTCTGTCTGTCTGTCTGTCTGTCTGTCTGTCTGTCTGTCTGTCTGTCTGTCTGTCTGTCTGTCTGTCTGTCTGTCTGTCTGTCTGTCTGTCTGTCTGTCTGTCTGTCTGTCTGTCTGTCTGTCTGTCTGTCTGTCTGTCTGTCTGTCTGTCTGTCTGTCTGTCTGTCTGTCTGTCTGTCTGTCTGTCTGTCTGTCTGTCTGTCTGTCTGTCTGTCTGTCTGTCTGTCTGTCTGTCTGTCTGTCTGTCTGTCTGTCTGTCTGTCTGTCTGTCTGTCTGTCTGTCTGTCTGTCTGTCTGTCTGTCTGTCTGTCTGTCTGTCTGTCTGTCTGTCTGTCTGTCTGTCTGTCTGTCTGTCTGTCTGTCTGTCTGTCTGTCTGTCTGTCTGTCTGTCTGTCTGTCTGTCTGTCTGTCTGTCTGTCTGTCTGTCTGTCTGTCTGTCTGTCTGTCTGTCTGTCTGTCTTTCTGTCTTTCTATCTGTGTGTCTGTCTGTGTGTCTTTCTATCTCTGTGTCTGTCTGTGTGTGTGTCTGTCTGCCTGTTTAATCATATATATATATGTATATATATATATATATATATATATATATATATATATATATATATATATATATATATATATATATATATATATATATATACATGAGAGTGTGTATTTGTTCGAGTGTATATGCTTTCTAAACAAAACTATTTTTATCTTTTGCAATTACATAAATCAAGGTAGAAAACAGTTACATCAGTATTTAAAGGAGTGTAGCTGTTAAATTTCTTAACTTTTCTACCCCCTTTTGGCGCCCCCCTCTAGGTGCGGCGCCGAAGCGGCCACCATCCCCCCCCCCCCCGCCCCTCCCCTCCCCCACCTAGATACGCCACTAATGCGAGCATTTATATCTTGAACTATTTCATGAATCAGCCTCTCTTGTTTACAGATGTATAGCTTGTATTTTTTTTAAATATTTTTACTTTCTCATACATACAAAGTATAGAGAAAGTATTGTAATCGTGCACAAAAATCACATGAAATTTTAACAATTTTCACCGTATTACACCTCAGTCCTCATCACATCCGAAGTATAAAGGACTTATTTTAATCGGGCAAAAATTATCAATCCAGATTTATCAAAATTAAGAGGTTTTATGCGTAATCCAGTCTGAAAAACTGGGCTTTGCAATTCTGTCCGTATGTCTGTGTGTCTGTCTGTCTGTCTGTCCGTGTGTAAACACGATAACTTGAGTTCCGTTACAGCTAGGTTGATGAAATTTCATATATAAGTATTTTATCAAATCCGTAGATCCGTATCAACTTTTGAGCGATTTCCGATAACCGGAAGTGGTACTTTTTCTACTTTGAATTTTTCAAAAGCCTATAACTTGAGTACTATTTCATATAGATAAATGAAATTTCACATGTAAGTAAAAGATCTAATTCTCTACCTTCTGTTAAATTTTGAGTAATTTCCATTGACCGGAAATAGTAATTTACGCTACTTCCGATTTCTTAAAAAAAAACTAATGTAAATTTTAAAAGTCTAATAATATTGCGCACTATTATGCACTTTTTTATTTGGCGTTCATTTGGTGTGCAATTCTTTTGTCTACGAGATTTTATTCTATTTTTAAAACTTTAAGTATTTAAAATGGATTAAAAATAATGTCTATAGCCCGAGTTCCCATCCCCTGTTGTTTTATATAAGAATATTCGAGAAAGGTTAGGGGAGATCACTCCCGGTTTATTAATATCAATTTTTATACCAAATATGTGATAAAGTCGAAACAAGTTCACTCTATTGTTAATATGATTATATATATATATATATATATATATATATATATATATATATATATATATATATATATATATATATATATATATATATATATATATATATATATTTAAAAGCAATTTATGTTTCATTAATTCGCGTCACGGTGTAAAGAGAGATAACTCAATCCAAGAGATCACTGCAGGTAAAAGGAGTTCGGGAGAGTGAAAAGAGTTGAACACATCATAGAATAACAAAGCCCTACATCATCTGCCTTTTTGATTTTTTGTAAAGACGAAAGCGAAAGCGCGGCCTATTTTTTAATTGACATGGCCTTTGCGGATCCTGGTAATTACGTGAGCTCATTACGTTAAAATTCGGTGAGCGCCGCACCCTCTACCTACTATCTCCTTGTGACGTCAACAGGTACACAGTTTCCCATAAATCTCCGTGTGACGTCAATATATACACAGTTTCCCACAAATCTCCTTGTGACGTCAATACGTACAGTTTCCCACAAATCTCCTTGTGACGTCAATAAGTACACAGTTTCCCACAAATCTCCTTCTCTAAGTCACAGCGGATGCTAACGGGATGTTGAGAACTGTGGAGGTTATGATCCACTCTTTCCTTTTTAAAATAACGAATACGAGCCGACCTGCGGCGTATCATACGCCGCTATCATAGTTGTTTTATTTTTTACTTTTCAGTAATTCATATTTTGTGAATTCGACAGTACCACTGCTGTCACTGTAAATATTTGCTTTAAAACAATATCAGTAAGTCTTTAAGGACGATAACCCCCCCCCCCCCCCTTCTTTCCGCCAACACCTACCCCCCCCCCCCCCCCCCGGTGAAAGCAGCCTCCTTTTAGCTACTTCTCCTAAGTTTGAAATCGTTTCAAACTAAATTATCTGCCCCTAATAGCCGTCACTAAACCCGGCTCTACGATTGTAAACATTTAGCGTGAACCACAGCTCACCAGACTTTCTAGAGAGGAAGAGAGGGGACTGCAAGGCGCGCTTACAGCTTGTTTTCTAACGTCTCCAAGAAGAGAATTATATATATAGATAGTTTCTTTTTCGAAGAGGTAACTGCTATACATATCTCAGGCATTGAATATAACAATATGTAGGTATCTCTGAGGGTCATACCAAATCCATAAGAGAATTGTTTATTTTATATGCATTAACATAAGCATACACACAAACTTAAAATCTATTATCAAGTTATTAAGCTAATTTTAGTGTTTTATTTTGTTAATTTATTCCAATAAAACATTCAAGAGGACTGTTGTATTTTGATAGAAGCAGAATACTTGAAAATTAAATTCTATATGAAAACATAATAGTGTATAAAGAGATGGTAATGTCTGGTTATCATTATTTTAACTACGCAGTTCACCCACTTAAAAAAATGTTCCTAAAACGGCTCTAATTTCAAAAAGTTTCCCTGAAATATCAACCCATTACGTCAATCAAACAACTTTGGATACAACTTTTTTTTCTCACGCACGTAGGTCTATACTTGCTGCCCACAATAATTTAACCCGTTTCCCGTCGTGATCCGGGTAATTAACTAGTACTTTGAAAAAAAAACCCTGGCCCACGCTTGAAGCTGGCTGTTATAAAAAACAGGAGAACACGTCGACCGGGGACAATTGTGTTACAGGAGACAGAACAATCAGAGCAGCTGTAATTGAAGTGTCAACCATAAGTGCTTGTCCAACTCGCTATTTAATGTAGGTATAGTTGTCACTTGTGTTTTGGTTTACGTTATAGTTAAGTCGCAATAGCTGACAGTTTACTGTAAGTACAAGTATAATAGTAGAAAAAAGGAATCTTTTAACATTTAGATTAGATTATAGATCTTCTTATAATAAAGCTTGTTCAAATGAAATTTATTTTGATACTTTAACACAAATACTTAATTATCATAAGTTGTAGAAAAATAGCCTATAAAAATTAGAATATATTTTTTTTCTTTTTTTGAGATTGTGTTTATAAAAAAATATTATTTGATACTTTATGGTAAAAAAAAACTCCAAGAATATTTTACTTTTATAGACATTAAGTCGTAAAAAAATAAGAAAAAAGTGTTAAATATTTATTTAATAATAATATAATTATTTTTTTAAAATATGTGATTTTTGAGATAAAATATAACTACATGAATATTTTTTCCTTAGATTGAACCATGATGATGCTGAAGGAGATTATCGTTCTTGGGCTGGTTCTTGCCCTTGTTGCCGCTGATTCTGACCCTAGGGATACTTTTTGTTCTGGGAAATGTGCAGTTCACCAACATGATGTCGACAAGTGTGTGCTGGACAATGGTAAACGTTTTTAAAACTAATTTCTCAAACACTGTCTTGCATGTAGGCCACTTGTCAACGTTTAAATACAGTTTTAAACTACCTTGTTTGCGAAAAAAACAATGGACTGAAATTTATCGGAAATTGCTTGTTGAATCATATAGTTGATATACATTTAACTACAATATATATCGTTATTACGTTTATTCAACATTTAAGATTTAGCCTTGGTCTAATTGTATTAGCGTTGAAGATTTAGCCTTACTCTAATTCTATTAGTCTAGAGATCTATCTTTGATCTAATTGTATTAGCGTTGAAGATTTAGCCTTACTCTAATTCTATTAGTCTAGAGATCTATCTTTGATCTAATTGTATTAGCGTTGAAGATTTAGCCTTACTCTAATTCTATTAGTCTAGAGATCTATCTTTGGTCTAATTGTATTAGCATTGAAGATTTAGCCTTACTCTAATTCTCTTAGTCTAGAGATCTATCTTTGGTCTAATTGTATTTCTTGAAGGTTTAGCATCCCCCCCCCCCCCACACCCCCCACCCAATCAGACTGCCATTGGCATAAGAGCACGGGTACGGAATTGTTTCGGTTGGGACAATGTCTTTAAGCTGGAAACATTTCATCCACTACCTATAAGAGAGGCCTAAAAGATTAATAAGTATTGGATTTATGGAGTATATTACTCTACATAAAGAAAATAAAAGCGTATGTGTGTATGTACTTGAGTATGCATGCGCGTGTTAGTGTCCGCAAACACGTTTAGGACGTGTGTGTTTGGGTATGAGTGTTTTACAGAATGGGACGATTTACTCAATTATAAAATATTTCTTTTGCAAGACAGTATCTTGTAGCTCTGCAACCAAAACAAAAAAGTGGTTACTCGCTAATTCGTATCAAACTATTGAATAGAAAATCAACCTCAAACTCGTTACAAATAGCCTTATACCCCCACCTCCTCAACTAAAACGACGTCACAAATTTTAACCCATTCATTTGTAAGATAACCATATTTGCAAATAAAATTTGTATCCTTAAATCTTACATTTGTTATATTGACCCCCATTCCCAGTGTCCATTAAGCAGCACAACCTTAAAAAAAAACTAACTTACAGATTTTATCCCTATATATATATATATATATATATATATATATATATATATATATATATATATATATATATATATATATATATGAAAAGATAGTAATTTGATTTTAACAATTCTTGAAACATAAAAACCAACAATCCGTTAACTGTTATAAATTGTCCTGGTATTACCCGTTCATGGAATGCGACCATAATAGTCGTATATTACGTAAAACAATAACTCATATAACTGCGCCATTAACACCTTGATGCTTATGATAATTAAGTCATGTTAGAGTAAATGTATTTAACACAATAATGTTTTCAAATACCACTACGTGCAAATGTCAAGCGTAATTAAATAAAAATAAAAATTAATTTTAAAAAATCCCACCCGGAAATCAACACTTGTCAGCTGACACGAAACGGAGGTTGAGCAAGTTTGAGGGTTGTAGTGGGCGAGGGCGAGTTTAAAGTAGGGCCCTCAAGAAACAAAACACAACTTCTGAAGATATTGAGACATGAAAGAAAATTCCACTTGACCGGCGTGTTAAGTGTGACTGGCTGAAGTAGCCATTGGTTATATATGAGAAGGGGAGACTAGATGAAAATATATCCTTATGGGAGGCTATCCGAGTTATACCTCGGGGTGGGGGGGGGGGGTGAAGTGGGGGGTGGGGTCTGCCACTTAGGAGCAAAATGTCTGAAATGCATCGTATAGATTATTTACATATTAAGAATATAAATAGGGAGTAGGGACGCTAGCTATTTGATATTCTAAGAGTGGGTAATCTAGTTAAAATATATTAAGGGGAGGCTACCTTGATATATAATGAATTCTCTGTGGTGCAAACGTTAAGTACCCTTTCGAGACACGGATTTTCTATGTACCGATGAAAAGGGGGGGGGGGGTCATAAGTTATTGGAGACATGAGGGCTGGTCACGAGGTTGGGGGCAGGGGCTTTTAAAACGGTAATTTATATTTCTAAATTTTTATTATGTCTTCAAGGCAATTACCTTATATTGCATAATTAACACCACAAAGCTTAACAGCTAGTTATATGTTCACTAGCTGCATCCCGTGCTCCGCCACGGTAAATCTTTTTTAAATGTACCAACTTGGGAACAGGACAAAACTAAACACAACACAAACGAACGCAAAAAAAAAAAACACACGAAAAAACAAACACAACACTCATAACATAAACACAATTTAAATGCAACCATAAAGGCATATTGCTCACAGTCTAGCCCGTAGCGCCAAATCGCTCCCTTTCCGGTGATTTGCACCCCCCTCAAACTTTCGATTTGCACCCCTGTCCCCCCCCCCCCCCACCCGCCCTAAAACTTTCGATTTCCACCACCCCCCCCCCCCCCCTCGCAAATTTTTTCCAACCCACTTTGGCGCCCCCTAAGGTTGGCACCCGGGGACATATGCCCCCCCCCCCTCGCTACGCCTCTCCTATAAAACCCCTAGCTTGTCCGCAAACCGAAAGATAGAATAATAATTAGTAAACAGTATAAATAATAGGCAGTATTTAAAATATCCGTGTTTTACCTACAATATTTCACTTTATCCATTCACGCATTTTTTCCCAGTACTTTAAATTTTAAAAATTTACAATAGAGTTTCATAACTAAAACCATTGCGCACCGAATGAACGTGATGACGCGTCTATGATAGTGCTTAATAGTTGATTAAAAATTATAAGTAGTAAACATTACATTCAGTGAATAAAATAAATAAAAAATAGCCTTTTATCAATCAATGCTAATTATAATATTCCAACAATAATGTACTCTTACACGTCTGCATAATTTGCATTCACATTTTGCTAATTATATTATTCCAACAATTATTCCTTCTTGCAGATTCTGCATTCACATTTTTAGCGTGAGTTCAATTTATTTTTAAAATACCTCCCTTGGCAAAATTACTAAACAGTTTAATTAGATTTTTCTAACCTACAGTTATTATGTTATAAAAATGTATCCACTTTTTCTAGGAATATTAACGAAAACGATATTTGACATTGATCCTTTTAATACGTTTTAGCAATTTGCGTGTATTTAATATTCTCTTTACGTTATGCAAAATTGTACAAACAGTGGAAATTATAAAATAGCTCTATGTCGTTATATAAACAGACCCTACTCTAATACTTATAATAAGACAATGCGATGCACTGCAAAGCACTAAATGGTGTGATGTTTACTTTTATGGTTCCAAAATCTATAGCGATGACGGACGGAAGGAAGGACAGACACAGCCCGCTTATATTATAGACTAGCTGCATCCCGTGCTCCGCCACGGTAAATCTTTTTTAAATGTACCAACTTTGGAACAGAACAAAACAAACAAAAACAACACAAACACAAAAAACACAACCACAAACACAACACAACCACAACACAACCACAACCACAACACAACCACAACACAACCACAACACAAACACAACACAACACAACACAACTACAACACAACCACAACAAAAACACAACCACAACAAAAACACAACCACAACACAGCCACAACACAACCACAACACAACCAAAAAACAACCACAATACAACCACAACACAACCACAACACAACCAAAAAAAAAAAACAACACAACCACAACATTAGAATCACCACCAAACAACACGCTTTTTAGGCGTCCGCGCCCAAAGAGACCCTTTCCAACATTAAAAATTTAAGTCACATAAATAGATCCTACTCCATAACTTACAATAAAACAATGCGATGCAAATGAATGTACGGCAAGTGGTGTTTACTTTTATGGTTCTAAGAAAACACATTGGCAATGTAATTAGAATTACCACCGAAAATCACGCTTTTCCCAGGCGTCCGCGCCCAGAGAGAGTCTTTCCACCATTCTCTATATTATAATTATAAAATTTCACCATCTGTTAGCACCAAAAAACAAAAACAAAAAATAGTGATTTTGAGAAATCATAGACTAATTAGAAAATAATATAAATAATCTTAACATTTTTCTCTTTTAATTATGAACCTTAACATAGACTAATCAATGCGGTAGTAATAAAAAAAAGATTAACTTAAATTATTGTTGAGTTAAATATATTTTCAAATTACCTCCCTTGAAACAATTACCACAAAAAAAAAGTGGAATTAATTAGCTTTTTCGACCTACTTTTATGGAAATGTATCCATTTTTTCTAGGAATATAAACTAAAATGATATTTGACATTAATCTTTTTAATACGTTTTAGCAGTTTGCGTGTATTTAATATTTTCTTGACGTTATGCGAAAGAGTAAAAACCGTGGCAATTATAAAATAGCTCTATGCCGCTATATAAACAAACCCTACTCTAATGCTTATAATAAGACACTGCGGTGCACTGAAAAGCACAGCGTGGTGCGCAGTTTACTTTTATAGTCCCAAAATCTATAGCGATGACGGACGGAAGGAAGGACACGCTCAGCCCGCTTATATTATAGACTAGCTGCATCCCGTGCTCCGCCACGGTAAATCTTTTTTAAATGTACCAACAGAACAAAACTAAACACAACACAAACGAACGCAAAAAAAAAAAAAAAAAACGAAAAAACAAACACAACACTCATAACATAAACACAATTTAAATGCAACCATAAAGGCATATTGCTCACAGTCTAGCCCGTAGCGCCAAATCGCGCCCTTTCCAGTGATTTGCACCCCCCTCAAACTTTCGATTTGCACCCCTTTCCCCCCCCCCCCACCGACCTAAAACTTTCGATTTCCACCCCCCCCCCCCTCGCAAATTTTTTCCAACCCACTTTGGCGCCCCCTAAGGTCGGCACCCGGGGACATATGCCCCCCCCCCATCGCAACGCCTCTCCTATAAAACCCCTAGCTTGTCCGCAAACCGACAGAATAATAATTAGAAAACAGTATAAATAATAGGCAGTATTTAAAATATCCGTGTTTTACCTACAATATTTCACTTTATCCATTCACGCATTTTTTTCCAGTACTTTTAAAAATTTACAATAGAGTTTCATAACTAAAACCATTGCGCACCAAATGAACGTGATGACGCGTCTATAATAGTGCTTAATAGTTGATTAAAAATTATAATTAGTAAACAGTACATTCAGTGAATAAAAAGAAATAAAAGATAGCCTTTTATCAATCAATGTGCTAATAATAATATTCCAACAATAATGTACTCTTACACGTCAGCATAATTTGCATTCACATTTTGCTAATTATATTATTCCAACAATTATTCCGTCTTGCAGATTTTGCATTCACATTTTTAGCGTGAGTTCAATTTATCTTTGAATTACCTCCATTGGCAAAATTACTAAGCAGTTTAATTAGATTTTTCTACCCTACTGTTATTATGTTAATAAAATGTATCCACTTTTTCTGGGAATATTAAAGAAAACTATATTTGACATTGATCCTTTTAATATGTTTTAGCAATGTGCGTGTATTTAATATTCTCTTTACGTTATGCAAAATTGTACAAACAGTGGAAATTATAAAATAGCTCTATGCCGTTATATAAACAAACCCTACTCAATTACTTATAATGAGACACTGCGGTGCACTGAAAAGCACAGCATGGTGCGTAGCTTACTTTTATAGTCCCAAAATCTATAGCGATGACGGACGGAAGGAAGGACACGCTCAGCCCGCTTATATTATAGACTAGCTGCATCCCGTGCTCCGCCACGGTAAATCTTTTTTAAATGTACCAACTTGGGAACAGAACAAAACTAAAAACACAACACAAATGAACGCAAAAAAAAAAAAAACGAAAAAACAAACAACACTCATAACATAAACACAATTTAAATGCAATCATAAAGGCATATTGCTCACAGTCTAACCCGTAGCGCCAAATCGCGCCCTTTCCGGTGATTTGCACCCCCTCAAACTTTCGATGTGCACCCCTGTTCCCCCCCCCCCCCCTCACTAAAACTTTCGATTTCCACCACACCCCCCCCCCCCGCTCGCATATTTTTTCCAACCCACTTTGGCGCCCCCTAAGGTCGGCACCCGGGGACATATGCCCCCCCCCCCCTCGCTACGCCTCTCCTATAAAACCCGAAAGATAGAATAATAATTAGAAAACAGTATAAATAATAGGCAGTATCTATAATATCCGTGTTTTACCTACAATATTTCACTTTATCCATTCACGCATATTTTTCCAGTACTTTAAATTTTAAAAATTTACAATAGAGTTTCATAACTAAAACCATTGCGCACCTAATGAACGTGATGACGCGTCTGAATAGTTGATTAAAAATTATAAGTAATAAACAGTAGGGCCTACATTCAGCGAATAAAATAAATAAAAGATTGCCTTTTATCAATCCATGCTAATTATAATTTTCTAACAATAATTTCCTCTTACACATCCACATAATTTGCATTCACATTTTGCTAATTATATTATTGCAACACTAATTCCTTCTATGACGAACGTATATTTGCATTCACATTTTTTATTAGCGTGAGTTTAATGTATTTTTAAATTACCTCCTTTGTCAAAAGTAGAAAAGAGTTAAATTCATTTGATTTTTCTAACCTACAGTTATTATGTTATTAAAATGTATCCACTTTTTCTAGGAATATTAACGAAAACTATATTTGACATTGATCCTTTTAATATGTTTTAGCAATGTGCGTGTATTTAATATTCTCTTTACGTTATGCAAAATTGTACAAACAGTGGAAATTATAAAATAGCTCTATGCCGCTATATAAACAAACCCTACTCTACTACTTATAATAAGACACTGCGGTGCACTGAAAAGCACAGCATGGTGCGTAGTTTACTTTTATAGTCCCAAAATCTATAGCGATGACGGACGGACGGACGGACGGAAGGAAGGAAGGACAGACACAGCCCGCTTATATAATAGATTTCAGTTTAAAGACGATTTAATCAAAAATATTCTAAAGCTAAACATTTTAAATCGAATTATGAAAAATTCGGTTCCTCATCCTATACTTTACTTTCCCCAACATGAGTCAGGTACCCATCAGAGCTGGGTTAACTCAGGGACGTCCTGTAGTACATAGTCTGGATCAAAATGAAATGAGTTTTAAGATTTTTGATATCCTTAAAAATATAATACATTTGATGTCTTTACAGACAGGAAACCTGCATTAAATCTTGTGTTTGCAAGTAGACATCATGTATTAAATCGTGTGCCTTAAGAAACACTATGCTAAATGTGATGTCGGAAGAAAGATACCACGCACTAACTTAATGTCTAAAAATACCACGCACTGATTTAATGTCCACAGATACCACGGGCTAAACGTGATCTCTAAAGATAACACGCACTAAACGTGATCTCTAAAGATACCACGCAATAACTTGGTTTCTAAAGATACCATCCACTAAACGTGATCTCTAAAGATAACACGCACTAACTTGATGTCTAAAGATACCACGCAATAACTTGGTGTCTAATGATACCATCCACTAAACGTAATCTCTAAAGATACCACGCACTAAACGTGATCCCTAAGGCTACCACTCACTAACGTAATGTCTGTCTATTCTTCAGGTTGCTACCAACTGGAGCAGGGCGAACAGAAGAACCAATGTTTCGACAACTGCCACAAGAACTCCGCGGTCGAGAGGTGCTACACCAGGTGCATCAAGCGCTACGACAGGTGCCTGGTCAGGTGCAACAATGACTCGACTTGCTTCGACAAATGTGTCAATGTTAAGCCATGCCACAACAAAAACGGACCACGAAAACCGAAGAAGGAGAATTAAATGACTAAATATTTTTAGGTTTCGATACTATTTTATTCTGCTTACTTGTAAATTTTAAAATGGTTGACGCACGCAAAATATTAGTAATTAAACCAAAGTTTGCTGACGCATGATATTTTACAGTAAAACAGCGAATACTTACGGATGACAGATTTTTCACTGTCCTTTAAAATTTTTGAATTAAAATATTAAAAAACAAGTACATTTTTCCGATTTAAAAAAAAACATGTTTTTTCATAGTATCGCTTTCACAAAAGAAGACCTACTGTACAAACAATTCATTTATAAAAAAATTGTGTACATATGTATCAAAGCTCGTTTGGTTTTTTTAATTATATTTAGCTATAACGGCAACGCATTTATATAACCATGTTTGTTTTTTTAGCGTAAAAAATAAATTGCATGAAGCATAAGGATTTGAGTATTTATTTTTAATAAAAGATTATAATTTTGTTAGAATGACTGTCTGTCTTTCTGTTTTTCTGTCTGTCTGTCTGTCTGACTGTCTGTCTGTTTTTTGACTGTTTGTCTGCCTGTCTGATCATATATATATATATATATATATATATATATATATATATATATATATATATATATATATATATATATATATATATATACTAAGCCTATATTGGTGTGTGTGTTTGTGTAAGTTTGCTTTCCCAACAAAACTATTTTTATCTTTTCCAAACTACGCTTTATAAATCAGGTTGGGGATACGTACATAAAAATGATTTTTTTTAAATTCTTTAAAAACATTTGCAACAACGAATTAGCTATGCCAGCGGAGAAGTTGCTAGTTTTTTTTTAAAAAAACGTACAGGGTATTGGTGGCTATACAATCACCCGTTGATTATAAAAGCTATCAATTTTGCACCCCCCCCCCCTTTCTCTCTGCACACACAGTTTAGAAAGTTAAGGGGCATTTTTTACAAGTCAGTTTACTGTAACAGTTTTATTTTAGTGTCACACATTAGATAAAGGAAACTGTTACATTAGTCTGTAAAGTCAAGTAATATTTTATTTTTTTAACACCGATTCTGTATAATCCAGTAATGTACCCCAGAATGTGCCAATTTTTTTTTCTAGCCCATTCGCCGTGCCAAAGCCACCTCCCCCCTAGCTTCGCCACTGCCCTAGTTAATCAGAGAAACCCCGTGTGCTTGAGCGTAGTTTAATGTTATAGAAGCTTCCCTACGACATACCGACTGGGGTGTTTTGATGTTCGTGAGGAAGAGTCACTTCAGACCAGCTGTGAACAGAAGTCGCCGCAGGTGCAGGTATAATAGACAACGTAAGTCTTTTGTGTGTATTGTGCATTGTATATTTGAGTCGCGGTGCAACACGAATTAAAGATCTTTGTTAACCTTGACATTATAAAATATGAAAGCATTTGTCGTTATCATGTTATCGCGGAGTTGTGATTAAATTTTAAAAATTCTTTATATATATATATATATATATATATATATATATATATATATATATATATATATATATATATATATAATATATTATATATATATATATATATATATATATATATATATATATATATATATATATATATATAATATATTATATATATATATATATATATATATATATATAATATATTATATATATATTTATATATATATATATATATATATATATATATATATATATATATACATATTTATATATATATATACATTTGTGTGTGTATGTATGTATGTATATATAAATAGAAAAAATACATATAAATATATGTCAATTATAATGAATTAACCTTAGTAGAAGAAAATAATGACAATTAAGGAGGTTTAGTTCGGTGACTTTTGCTTGCCATAGTAACAACTGACTCAGAGTCTGTATGGTATTTATGCGGTGACCACTGACGTATTTCAATTACAATCTAACACGCAGACAAGTAGACATGTCAGATGTTCGCAAAAAAAAAACTTAATGCATCATTATAAGATCATTGAGATTAAACAGAACTAGGTGATTGAATGGTGAACAAGCTGGGTCAGCCTGACATGATCGATACGTGGAATTAATACACGACACTCAACTAGGATAAAGAGTTGGTTCTGTATTCTAAAACGTTTAAACTTTTCAAATAGGCCTACCATGATTTTTTGATATGTAAAATCGGGCTACTTTACTTTTTTTTTATTTGCCTCCATAGCATTTATTCAATGTTCGAACTCTGGACTTTTAGTTTAGAAACCGTAAGCTTTTACCGACCCGACCACGCCAACCCTTATTGTTTTATATGAATCTGAACTTTTTGTAATTTTTTTTTTTGCATAACTTAATTCCTCTGTTTTCTCGCATTTGATTCTTGTGGGTCGAAACATGGGAACAAAATTGTAACCTTCATCAACCAGTCCGATTAAAAAAAAAATTTAAGACGAAGGTCAAGATCCGATGACAATACAAATGTGACATGAAATTTGACATGGTTAAATATTAAAAGAAAACGTACGAAGCATTAGTATTTATATAGTAAGTACTAGTTTTTTTTTTCTTCTTCTTCGCTCTTAATTTTAGTTGGAAGGGATCCCCTCCAGCACAATGAGATATACGTGTCAACTAGTTATGCGCCGTTGCGGCCATTGACTCCGATTTTAAGCCTGCTTTTCTTTTTGGATTTCCATAGCCTTTGTCCGACCAAGAACAAACTACAAGGCAGCAGTTAATTGACTTTCGAGTTGTCTCTCCTAGGCGAGTGGCTGTCACCAAGCTAACGAGCCTCATATGCCCGAACTCGAGACTTTTCGGTTTAGCAACCATGAGCTTTACCAACTCGACCACTCCGACCCTACGTACAAGTTATATATCGCGATATTTTCATAGTTCCATGAGTACACATATATATCTTCTACATTTCTTCTGCTAAAGGGAGGGAGTACCCCCAACCAGGAAGAGAATTATGGAAGAAATGCTAATTAAAATTCCATCACGATAAGTAAACCAAGATGACCGTTTGCTATTTACATATCATAATCAGGGACTGGAAATAACACTATCTGGTTTTTATTAGTTTTGAGACATTTATTACAGCATATTTTTCAGTTTAGAAAATAATTTGTTAAATTTAATTTTTTAAATATTAATTGTTGATGTAGATTCAAGAAGTAGAAACGAAACAGAATGTAGAGTTATTTACCTTAGATTGCTTGTAGCTTCTGTTGAACCGCCCCTAGTTGGTTTGATTAAAAACAAACAAGCATACGTTTGTTGTAGGCTAGGGCTAATCCTCATTGTTGACTCAATTGCAAGTAATTAAAAACAACAACAACATCCCCAGCTGTCGCAAGCTTGTGGCCCAAGGTTATAAAAACACCACAACAGAGCGGTTGGTTGCAGGCGATGTTTGGAAGAAACAACAAAAAACAGGAGTTGTACTTGAACTCACTGCCCTCTAAAGCTATAGTTGTCACAAGTCTACGGTGTATGATGTTTTACTTTACCGTTACATTTAACTAGTAGTGGTTTTAAAAAAAAACACTATGCTAAAATGTGTTTTTTGGATTTAGATCAAATGTTATGGTTCTGAATGTGATAAAAATACGTAAGATTTTGTAGCTCTAACTTTTAATCAAGTGTATATATATATATATATATATATATATATATATATATATATATAGAGAGAGAGAGAGAGAGAGAGAGAGAGAGAGAGAGAGAGAGAGAGAGATAGATAGATAGATAGATAGATATATAATACAAAATAAATAAATATATATTGGTATATTTTTACAAATATATGCATACATATATTATATTATATATACATACATACATACATATATATATATATACATATATATATATATATATATATATATATATATATATATATATATATATATATATATATGTATATAATTATAATATATATATATATATATATATAACACATATAATTACCTGTATGATTTTACCCTTAATAGCTGAACAACATGGTGATGAAGGAAGCTCTGATACTTAGTCTAATGATTGTCCTTGTCGCCTCGTCCTCAGGCCTACAAGATACCTACTGTAACAAAACATGTAAAGAATATCACATGATGTCGGAGATATGTTATGATGATGCTGGTAAACATTGTTCATTCTTTTTTAATGATAATGAGAGCTTCGATTTAATCTGATTTTTTAAAATAAATTTTCCCTGTAAAATAACATTTATTTGATTAAAAAAGAAACTGTTCATAATTTTTTTTATTGTACAATATTATGGCTTCAATATATAGAAACTACAATTACCCCTCGGACATTTCTCCTCCCCACCCCCCCGACATTACCCCCGAAGTAATTACCCCCTGTTAATTTACCCCCGCCCAGCAGGACATTACCCCCCCCCCCCCCCCCAGCTTAAGGTACAGCTATGGTTAGGGTTAAAGTTTAGGGCTAGGGCTAGGGCTAGGGCTAGGGCTAGGGCTAGGGCTAGGGCTAGGGTTAGGGCTAGGGCTAGGGCTAGGGCTAGGGCTAGGTTAGGGCTAGGGATAGGGCTAGGGCTAGGGCTAGGGCTAGTGTTATGGTCAAGGTTAGGCTTAAAACCAATGTCTAGAGTTGGTTTTGTTTTTGTGTTGTTTTACGCTGAGGTGAATGCTTAGGTTTTGGCATTTTTTGTAAGGTTAGGATTAAGCTAATATATTGGTATAGAGTTTGAGTTAGAGTTAGGATCCTAACTTGAGGGGGGATGTAATTGACATTGGGGTAATTGCTCCGGGGGGTGGGGTGGGGGGGGGGGGGGTAAATACGGGGGTAAATGATACGAGGCGTAAATGCCGGGGGGGGGGGGTAGTGTCCTGTAGCCAACGATGCCGTCTTTGATTGTATCTCATTTTTAAAAATGTTACATCTGTTGACAAATAAATGTCCTGTGCTTAATGACAAAAGCGTTTTTAAACTTGATTAGTAAACAAAACTGCGAGCTTTTGTCATGATGAGATGTTTTTTTTTTATTTGGCAGGCTGCAATCGCCTTAACTCCGATCAGAAGAAATGCGTTGCTAAGTGCAATGAGAAATCAGCAGAGCATGCATGCCAATCGAGCTGCTCACACGCTTATGATAAATGTAAGAAGAAATGCAAGCACAATAATAGATGTTTTTGTTACCTGTTTCAAAGGTGCCTACCATCCGCCAGCGTAAAAAAATAAACAGGATAGGGAAAAAAAAATTAAAATTATAAATAATTATTGTTTTGATATAATTTTAAATATTTTATCCTACTTGCTGCTAATTTAAGAATAAAAAAATGTTATTTGTTGTTGTATGTACGATACAGGTAATAAAATCAGTGTTTGCTGTACTTGTGTAATAGGATAATTTCAGCACACTACAAAAGCAATATTATTTTATTAAAAACATAAAACATTTTTGCTATGTTTGGATGACTTGACTTAATCCTCAT